CCAGGGATGCCCCAAATTCCCCCCAAATCTCCCCCAAAACCCCCAAAATCTTCCCCAAAAGGACCCAGAGACCCCCAGGGACCCCCAAAATCTCCCCCAAAACCCTAAAGACCCCCCCCAAAATCCCCAAAATCCCCCAGGGATCCTCAGGGACCCCCAAAATCTCCCCCCAAAAGCCCCAAAACCCTCCCAGATGACCCCAAATCCCCCCCCCAAATCTCCCCCCATAGCAGCCAGGGACCCCCAAAATCCCCCCCAAAAGCCCCCAGCCCCACCTTGGCCTGCAGCTCCTCCAGGCCCCGCCGGACCCCCCCCAATTCCGCCTCCAATTCGGGGAGGGGTCTCCTGAGGAGGGGGGGAGCGGGAAAATAAAAAAGGGGGTGGGGGTCAGGGGGGGATTTTTGGGGTGGGGGGAGCCCGAGTGGGGGGGAGGGGGGGTCCCCAAAACCCACCTGGGTCTGGGGGGGGTCTCCGAGGTCTCCACAGGAATTGGGGGGGGTTGGGGGGGTCTCAGGGCCGCCTCCCCCTCGGGGGTCTCCAGCAGCTCCAGCAGGAACGGGGTGGTTTTGGGGGGTCCTTTTCTGGGGGGGGGATGGGATTTTTGGGGGGGTTTTTGGGGGGGGTTTTTGGGGCTGGGGGTGTCAGGAAGGAATTGGGGGGGGTCTAAACCTGGTTTTGGGGGGGGGCTCGAGGGGGGGGGCAGCGGCCAGAAGGTCCTGGAGGAATTGGAGCTGCTGCTCGGGGGGGGCTGTGCCCTAAAAGGGAGACCCCAGACCCAAAATCCGTCAGGGAACCCCGAAATTCAGCCCAAAAATCCTCCAGAATCCCCCCCAGACCCAAAAAAATCCCCCCCAGACCCCCAAAATCCTCCCCCAGACCCCAAAATCCTCCCCAAATCCCCAAAAAATCCCTCTGGGACCCCTGAAATTTCCTCAATTTTCTCTCCCTGGACTTTCCCAACCTCCTCAAAACCCCCAAAATCCCAAAATTTCCCCCCAAAATCCCCAAATCCCCCCCCCCAATTTTTCCTCCTCCACCCCAAAAGACCCCAGAGACCCCCAAAAATCCCCCAAAAAAGCCCCCCCAGGACCCCCTGACCTCCACCAGGGCGAGGTCGTCGGCCCCACAGAGCATCAGCTTCGCTCCCAGTTCGGCCAGTTCTGGGTTAGGGGGTGTACTGGTTAAACTGGGAGGGGTCTGGGGGATGTGGGGAGGGGGCTTTGGGGTTTTTTGGGGGGGATTTTGGGTTTTTTGGGGGGATTTTGGGGTTTTTTGGGGGAATTTTGGTTTTTTTGGGGGGGATTTTGGGTTTTTTGGGGGGATTTTGGGTTTTTTTGGGGGGATTTTGGGTTTTTTTGGGGGGATTTTGGGGGTTTTTGGG